TAGCCTCAACCCCGCAGAATGCGCGGATATTATGCAGTCGGCGGAGCTCGACCCTCAACAGTCGATCTGTTCGAATGGTCGGTTAGCTCAGTTGGTTAGAGCGTGGTACTAATAATGCCAAGGTCATGAGTTCGACCCTCATACTGACCATTTCCTTTTGCTCGCATCGCGATTGCAAGTCAACAGACTTTACTTTTGCTGCTCAGAGAAAAGCCTCGGTATGAGGCGCGTTGCAGTCGTCGACTTGAGGCGAGTGGCGAGACGCATCAATGTTGGCTCTGGTCACAATGGAAGATCACAATGGACCGAGACAAAAATTGAAAGCTTAGATGGAAGACTTGGGCAACGATGCCTTGGAGGTAAGGCAGACCCGATGGATGGTTCTCCCAAAGGTGTCGGCTCGTCTCCCTGGTCGATTGTTGCGCTCTGCAAAGCTGGCTAACTGCCAGACGCTTGTTGGAGGCATTGAGGTTTCAGAAACCACAGCTCACTCGGCACCGGGTTATGACTGCGGCGATGCGCTGTTGCAACACGGTGATAAACAGCCCAGGTCTGTCGCATGGTTGCTCGACACTTATGTGACTAAGTCATGTCTGTCCAAAGTCCACTGCCTCGATGAATCGTTCCTCTTTCTTGCACTACATTCGCGCTCGGTCTCCTGCATGTCTGCATGGGGAAAATGCCTGAATGACTGCAGATAACGGCAGCCTTGCTACTGTCCCTCGGATACCTTAGTCTCAATAAAGGCGGTCGCTTGAACCTGAAAATCCGTGTTCGGTCTCCAATCTGTTCATATGTGTAACTGTAGACACCGAGAATATGATTGTGCTAGATCAATGAAGTATCCTCCGTTTCAGAGAAGTTCCTTTTCATTCTGGTTTCTTCTCAACCCAGCCACAGGGGATGTACTTGAAGCGCGCATTCGTGCATGTACCTCTCAGCAAGGTCGTCAGGAACCCAATGGGCGCGAAAGTCAGGGCTGCGCATGGGCCACATGACAGATCCTGGATAGGGGGCACGGGCACGCTTGTTTGGCAGGGAATGGAAGGAATAGCATCCACTTGATGCCTGGCAGCCTCACCGCTGACGGCAGCCCCTGATTGGACCAATCCCCAGCGGCAACAGCCACGGGAAGACACTGAGGAAGCTCCATTCATTGACCCCGTGTATTGACCCCCTAAAAATGACCCCCCTGGCCCCTAAAGAGACACACTGGCGAGCTGGCAGAAGGTACCTCCCCTGCCCACCTCAGGCTAGAGCCCCAGCCAGAGCCAGCGCCTGTCGAACCAGCCCCCATCTCCTGGCGTCGTGCTGGACCTGCCACACAGAGACAGAGAGAACAGAGCGAGGGCGAGTGTCCAGCAGTACTTTTGCTATCCTGTCCAAAAAGCCACCAACCCAACCTCGCGCAACGCAACGCAGCGCAACCATACGACGCGATCCACGACCGGAAAAAAAATCGTTGCTGCTTTATGAGCCGTCCACCGCGCGCAACCCAGGACGATTGACGAACAGCTACCAGCTGCAGCTTCCAGCACGCTGCCTCGCTGTTCCTCGGCCCTCGCCCAATCGCATCTGTCACCCACCAACCACCATCACCTGGCCCTGGCCGTGACGACTGCCGTGCTGCTGCTGCTGCTCCCAACCGCACACGACACCTTTCCGCCCGAGCTTCACTCGTTCGCCGTCGATCGCAACCTCGACCGTAACGAACACCTACTTTCGCATCGCCGCGAGCTCCACGAAGACGCTCCACGACCGATGCAAATCCAATAATCCCATTTAGTCCCCCCCCCCCTTCCGTCAATCCTGCAGCGCGGACCACCAGCGGCTTTTCGAAAGCCCTTCCAGACGGTGGATAGACACACGGCCACTCTGACGACGCTTCTCCGCCCCTTCCCACTTCGCGGCGAACACAGCATTCCGGGGAGCAGCTCCCCCACGCGCACATGAGCTGGCAGAACGCCGCGGGCATGGGGATGAATCCGGGCAACGGCATGGGCGGCGGCCCCGGCGGCGGCGAGATGGGTGCTGCCATGCAGGGCAACGGCAACGGCCAGCCCAATGCAACAGAGTACACGTTGCAGGGTGCGTTTGAGCTTTTTTTGTTTCCTATTTGTTTCGTTGCGAGATGGAGGAAAGTGCATTATCGTGCTAACCCGATAGCACAGGCGTTATGCGCTTTCTGCAGACCGAATGGCATCGCCACGAACGCGACCGAAACTCGTGGGAGATTGAGCGCCAGGAGATGAAGGGCAGGATAGCGAATCTCGAGGGCCAGGCAAGACGCGCCGATGCCACCCAAAAGGCCCTCAAGCGCTACGTCGGCATCCTCGAGAAGAAGGTCGTTAACCAGCAGGCGCTCCTCAAGGGCACGGGCTCAGTTTCCGACATTGACGAGGAGCCGGCGAAACGCGAGAAGGACAGGGCCATCCGCATTCAGGAGAAGCTCCATGGTGAGTTCGCGAACAACAGAGGAGCCGAGCTTGCGCTGACGAGACCTCAACAGCGCTGCACAAGGATATTGATACCGACGATGAGGAGGACAAGGGCGAAGACGAACCTCAACGTGCTGACCTCAAGGCCTTCCTCGACCAGTGCCAGGCCGAGTTTGCATACCTCATGGTCACACCTGCGAACCCCCTGCCACCTCGCGACTCTCCACCATTACCCATTCTGGAGGACATGGCCGGCCCCGAACCCTACCAGCTGTCCGGTCAGCCCCCAGCGGAGCCCTCTTTCCAACAGCAAATGCGACAGTCGCAGTTGCAGACTCAGAACCATGTTCGGGAGATCGCGCGAGCGCCCTCGGCCCCGAACCACGCGCCGCCAATGCAACGCAGTCAGCCTACGAGCTTTCAGGTGAAGCAAACGGAACTACCTGCTCAGCAGGCTGGGAACTCGGAAGCCGAAAACCCACCCGCAATGTATGCTGCAGGCACAGAATGGCCGCAGCCCGTCTCCGTCACCACTCGTCTCATGGATGATAACCTCCAGAGGCCAAATCACTCCGTCGAAGCACTCGGAACAGCTGAACACGCTGAAGAAGTAGCCCCGAAACAAGTCCTTCCCGAGACCGATGGCTGGGAGTTCCCCGACGGCGCTTTCACAGACTCCAACTCGACGCAGCCCCAACAAGCTCAGCAGTTGGCTTCGACCCGGCCAGATACTGACGTTTTTCCCAGCGCAGAGAACGTACCCAAGTCGCCTACTCGAGGGCCTGGCTCGCATAGGAGAAAGGGATCAATGTCTCGACGCCGCAGCTCGGACCAGGAGCTTTCACTGAACGCCCTGTCTCTCAAGCAGGAAAGCACAAATTTCAAGCTGCGCTTCGGCCTACGCGGGCATCTTGACACTGTCCGAACTGTCATTTTTTCCGGAGGTGGCAGCCCAGGAGAGCCGGAAATCTGCACCGCCGGCGACGATGGCATGATCAAGCGTTTCCACATCCCTAGAACGGAGAGTCCTGTCGGAGGGTCTGACCTAGACGTCGCGGCAAACTTCACACACAGGGGTCACTCGGGAGCGGTCCTTTGTCTGACGTCGTGGTCGCCATCGCCAAACTTCTCTACAGGCGGTAGGGCGCAGGGAGATGGTTGGATTTTCTCGGGTGGCCAGGATGCCAGCATCAGAGTGTGGGAGCGAGGGCGAGTTGATCCCAAGGCGACCCTCGACGGCCACACTGATGCGGTTTGGGCCATCTGCGTACTTCCGGCAACACTGGGTGCCATCTTCGGACAGTCGAACCCCTATGGCACTCCCGATCGTATCCTTGTAGCGTCAGGTGGTGCTGATGGAACTGTCCGTCTGTGGGCCGTCAGCGCGCCACCTCAACTCACATCTCCGCAGCCCGGCGCGAACCGAGCCGCTCCCACAGGCAGCAGAGGCAGGGTTCGCGGCAACTCAATGAGTTCAGGAAGCGCGTTCCCCAACTCGCCACAGCCGACAATGGCCTCGAACTCTCCTTTCAACCACACGCTTATCCACAACATATCGCGATCCGATGGCTCAACAGCCAGCCCGACCTGCATCACACCGCTCAGCCCGACTGGTGAAACGTTCGTCGTGGCTTATTCGGACGCTTCTATCATTGTATACGATACCCGCTCTGGCGAGCAGACAGGCGCTATGGACAGCCTGGAGACGTATGACGGAACCATCGGCACAAGCGTCAACTCTGTCGTTGCTACCACTGTGGGCCTGGAACAGGGCCAACATGCCAGCAGCATGTCTGAGGAGGACGCTTCTACCAGCGGAGGCCCAACAGGCGGCGGCAGGACTATGGCCAGCTCTGGCGTTGAGGGTGTCGTGATTTCTGGGCACGAGGACCGGTTCGTGCGCTTCTTTGATGCCAATAGCGGTAAGCATATGCCATTTTTTGTTATCCGATCCGGGCCTCCATACTGACTCACATAGGCCAATGTACATACAATATGCTCGCACACCCGGCCTCCATCTCGGCGCTGTCACTCAGCCCCGACGGCCGCGAGCTGGTCAGCGCCGGCCACGATGCTAGCCTGCGGTTCTGGAGCCTCGAGAAGCGTTCATGCACGCAGGAGATTACGAGCCACCGCATCATGCGCGGTGAGGGTGTCTGCTCTGTCGTTTGGAGCCAGGACGGCAAGTGGGTCGTCAGCGGAGGTGGCGACGGTGTGGTCAAGGTGTTCACGCGGTAGAGACGACGTCGCTCTCGCTTGCACATCCGTCGGCATAAGCATAGCGTGTAGGGTCGACCCTTTGGGAAAGGGAGCGAATGGCGCGGGGGATCATGGACATGTCAACCACCGGCCAGGCCAAACCTCGCCCGGGCGTTCATAGTGTTCTTGTAATATGTAACTTGAAGGAAATGTGGCCACGAAGCCCTCCATGCCCTCTAGTGGGTTTTGGAGCGTCTGCGTATCTTGGGTCTGTCTCATACATCATTTCGTCGTGCTGCGTGCTATCTTGTCGCTGGTATCATGGCAAACCGCCGAAAACAAGGCAAAAGCCGCCGCTGGGCTTCAAAACTCCAATTCCTCCACCTCCATGCCGCACCCGACACACGTCTTGACCGTCATGCCCTCTTCGTTCTCAACCGTGCGTCCCCACTCATGCACATGCTTGCCGCCCGACACGGCATCGCCAAACTTGGTCGGACCACCGGCGGCCCCCTTGGCGGCCTGCCTGCGGAAGGCCTCGGTCCTCGTCTTCCTCTTGAGGTCCGTCAGCTTCTCCTTGAACTTCTTCTCCTTCCGCGCGCGCTTCTCGTCCTCGCGGCGCGCAAACTCGGCATCGAGCTTCTCCTCGCTGCCCCACTTTGTGTTGAAGGCATAGTCCTCGACCTGGCAACGCAGGAACAGCATCATGTCGTGCCAGTGGCTCTTGTGCGGGTTCGGCTTGTTGAGGTGGGGCAGCAGGTCGGCGTCGCGCAGCTCGCCCTCGGTGAGGAGGTAGTCCTCGCGGCACTCCGTCTTGGTGAGGAGCGAGTAGCGGTGGGCGTGGCGGTCCTTGCAGGGCGCGCAGACGCAGAGGCCGAAGACCTCGGCCCAGACGTGGTCGATCTCGGGCGAGGCGCACTCGCGGCACTTTTGCGCCGCGCGCACCGACGCGTCGCGGAGCACCGAGAGCGACGGCTCGAACGGCCCCGCCTTGGTGCGCTGCAGCGCGCGCAGCGTCTGCAGGCGCTCCCACTCGCCGGCCGTCATGCCCTGCGGCCGCTCGGGCGGCGCCGGCTGGCCGGGCTTCGGCCGCGGCGCGAGCGCCGGGTTCGACGGGTCGTCGTCGAGGGAGAGGAAGCCGCCTCTTGTGTCGGTCATGGCCGACATGTCGTAGTCGACAAACTTTGTAAAGTTGCGTGCCGGCCGCAGCGACTTGGGCGCCGCGTCGTCGCTCGGGTTTTGCCTGGCGTCGCGGACCGTGTCGGGGCCGTGAGCCTTGGAGGAGGACGACGACGACGATATATCGGCATGTGTGCGTTTGCGCGAGTTGGGAATGTGGACGTTGTCGGTGGCGATGAAGCCGGAGGGGGTCTTGTCGAGACCGGGCGCGCCGGACGCCAGACGAGCTTGTTCATGCTGGTCACGGATTGCTTTGGCGCGCAGACGGTTCTCTTCCTGTCCACAAGTCAGCGGGATGCTCGATGCGTGGGAAACTTGATGGAAAGAACATACAATCCTGCGAGTCACTGCTGGTGTGGGAGGAGACACAACGGGTGCAGGCTGGGTTGCCCGTGGTGGCGTCTTTGGCCGTTCCATGGTCGTGGTCGCTGACGTGTGATTATGAGGCGGGGGGTAATGAGCCGTGATACCGAGGCAGTTAAGAGGATCAATGAATGAGCTGGACACCTACCAGATGGTAGTATCGTCTTGTGTAGGACTGACAGAGTCAAACTTTGAGGGGGGCAGACTTTCAGAAGGCCGCGGGGCGCATCCCAAAACGATTATGTCATGGCTCGTAGCCGTCGCGAAGTCACGTGCGTGGTTAAAGTGGTATTTGGTGCATGTGCTTCACGGAGCTAGACAGTAAAGAGCCGTGTTTGCGTGACAGCCACAGCAGTGCATCTACGATTGGCATGACCAGATGGTGTCAGGTTGCCCAATGGCCAATGGGAATTTGTCGGCCTACGCACTTATACTTGCGAAGGGCTTAGGATACCCTCGGCTGCAGACAGAGCATGAATGCACTGAGCACATTGGCATGGCGAGCTGTAGTTTGGGTCATGCTTGATGCAATGCGACTTCAGACGGGCTGAGACCAATATGCCTGTCATCTACACTCCCAGGGCAAAATCTACCGATCCCACCATATCAATCCTCGGCTCCCAGGCGCCAGCGGCACGTCTCGCAAGGTGCACACGTATGCAACAAGCCCCAATGCCCTCCGAACAAAAAAAAAACCCCCCATGGCCCTTTCTTGTCGTGATCGACTGATTTACTCCTCCTTGACACCACCACGGCCGGAGCGCTCGGCGGCCTCGACGGCCTTCTTGTCGCTGGCGGGGCCACCACCCTGGAGGCTGCTCATGAAGCCGGCGGCGGCCTTGAAAGGGCGCTTGAGGTCGCCGACGGGGGGCTGGCCCCAGATGTAGATCTTGGCAAGGTTGCTCTCGAAGGCGCCCTTGAGAGGGATGATGGACTGGACGAGGAGGGGGTTGGTGTACTTCATGTAGAGGTGCATGAAGCCCATCATGGCGACGCCCATGGCCTGCGAGCGGAAGGCCTGCTTGAGCTGGGCCGAGTCGTAGGCGTGGACGGTGGTCGTCACGAGCTTGGGCTCCTCGGAGGAGCCGACGGGGGCAGGCTCGACGTACTTGAGGGTCGTCATGTCTGTGTGTCTGGTTAGTCCTGGGTCTTCGCACTCAAAAAAAAAAAAATAGTCAACATTGGCCTGCGTGAGCCTCGTGTTGACGTACCCTTCTTGGCGTTAATCTTAGACTGGATGTAGAGGTAGACGATGGCGATCAGCAGGTTGCTGAAGATGTAGAGGGCGCGGCATCCCTGGAGGACGGAAGGATCCTCAAAGGGGACCTTGCGGGAGACCTGGATCATGCCGAGCATGATGATCAGGTTGGTACTGTATTGCGCATCCCCCTGTTAGCTTTCTGCGTGCGAGGCGATTGCGCGGGGACGCGGTGGACAACGCATCGGACGAAGAGACGTACACTTGAGCGCTGACCATTTTGGCGGTAGTTTGCTGTGTCTGTCGGAGCGAGCTGGTGTTGGGGCAGGAAATGGGTTGGTTGGCGTTTAGACAGCTCGGGTCGAAGGAGAGAGGGTGGGAGGATGGGGATGGGGGATGGAGTTTTGGAGAAGATGGTCGTGCGGCGCGGATTGCGAAATAACTTTTAGCGGTTGGCCCTTTCTGCAGCGAGTTGGGGTGGCGGGCTTCAGGGTCAGAGGGTGTCCGGCTGCGGGCTGGAGGGCGGCGTGCAGCCCGCTATGGACAATCTCCGATTATGGCAGACCCACTCTAGGTAGAGGCCACGTTCGCCGTCGACCTCATATGCGCCCTCTCTTGAGTGCTCGAAGCTTCCATTTGAAGAATGTGCTCGGCTTGAATGCTTGTCATTCACCAACCCAGTCGACAAGTTGCCAAGAAATGATGGCATCATTTTAGGCTGTTAAAGCGTTTCGTACCATGTAAACAGATTAAGTTTATCAATGACCGATCTATAAGGACTCTTCAACATTACCCTGATTGTCAATGCATCAATCGTTCACCACAATGGACTGCCAAGCCATCACGAAATCCCCAGCAGCTTGCCAGCCCGAAACGATACGCCGTGCGCGGCAGCAGGATTGTCCAACGCCAGATGCATCGCCGGCATCCTCGGCGCACTCCCGGCGTTGTTCGACGGGGGTGTTCCCCCAAATTCCCCGGACCGTGACCCCCACCCCTCTTGCCAATATCACGTGACCATGTCATCGCCCTGCGACCCCGGAAAATATTACCAGCTTCGACATGACCGCGTCTAGCCCGCCCAAGCTGTGCAAGTCCAGCTCGTCAACGAATAATCTACGTCAAGCAGGCACCATGCAGCCCACCAGGATACTGTTCAAGCGTTCCGTGTGGAAAGGTGAGTTGCGCCTTCACCTGCGATAGTGTGTGTGTGTGTGTTTCAATTCGCTGACACTTGCTGCCGCAGGACCGCACATTGTGCCGTAAGAATACCCTGCCGCCTCGCCAATGTTCGACCGACCTCTGACCTAGCTCAACAGCCTCCCCATTGTCCGCCCCCAGGCCGGCAAGAAGGCGCCCGCCATTTATACGCAGCAGCGCTCTGCCACCATCCTGCCCAACTTTGTGGGCCTCAGGTTCCAGATCTACAACGGCAAGGTCTACCACGACGTGACCATCACCGAGGACATGGTCGGACACAAGCTGGGAGAGTTCTCGCCGTGAGTCGCAGCCTTCGGAGAGATGTACCCAAACAGGAACGGAGCAGCAAGACTAACATGGCACAGCACGAGGAAGCCCTTCATCTGGTCGAGGGCGTAAGAGACTGTCAAGAAGCAGGCGTGCATACACAGGCGTTTAGGGGGGCAATCGAGTTTTAGGCTGGCCCTGTTGTTGTACACTACACCCCGATCCGAATTGTAAGAAGAAAAAAATAAACACCAGCCTTGGCTTACCATGATGTAAGATTTCTCGCCTGCGGCCGCCAGGCCTGATGCTACTACAACTTGCTGCCTTGTCTCTGCCTGTTTTGTTGGGAAAGACAGCCGTGATACCCCGAGCCCAGACCCATCCAGGGGCCAATTCCACCAACGCCTCATGATTGTAGTAAAAAAGACAAATCAAAACGCCTGAAGCAGACCAATCCGTCGCCTTCCGCAGGGCCAAATGCAGCATGGGCCGGCTCAGCGGTAGAACTCGCTCCTCTTGACGTTGACGCCATACTCGCCGACAGCCATGCCCAGATCCTCCATCGTCAGCACGGTCCTGTTCTGGCTGCCGCCCTGTCCACCACCGCCGTAGCCCGGGCGCTGGATACCCAGAGGACCGCCGCGGCCCTGGTCCTTCGAGGCCGCGCCCGTCGGGCCCGCGGGCTGGCCGGGGATCGGGAAGCCGGCGGCGGCGCCGAGGTTGCCCATGGGGTTGTTGGCGTTGGTGTTGGAGGCGCGGATGCGCGAGTACTGGTACGCGTCGGCTGCAATGTCGGCGACGAACTTTTGCGTCGCGAGGGCGAGCAGCCGCGCGAGGCGTGGGTCCGTCTGCGGGGGAGGCGGCAGGCCGGCCTTGGTCATGTAGTAGTTTGTCACGGCATCGGGGATCTGGAGCGAGGGCATGTCAGTGGGGGGAGGGTCTACGATAGGCAGCACACAGAGGGAGGAGGGGGAAGGGCGAGAGCATACAATTGGGGCGTAGTCATCCATCTTGGTGAGGAACTCGCGGAGCGACATGTCTTTGCGCGTGGGGAGCTTGCCCTCGGGAACTGGCGCGGCCTGCTCGGCCTCGGCCTCCTTCTCGCCATTTTGCTCGGTTGCGGTCTCCGCCTGGTCTGGCTTGTCGGCAGTTGTGACGCCGTTGGTGGCGGGCGCTGGTGATACTGTCGCGGCAGGCGCAGGAGCGGCGGTGGCCGGCACCACGGGCTCTTCGGAAGGTTGGCTTGCCATGGTTATGTTTGTGAGGATTGCGGCAGAGCTTCAATGGAGGTCAGAAGCACGAGGGTAAATCGGTCACGAGGCTGCCGTCGCGAGGTAGTTGCTTGAGGTTGGTGAGGCTGCACTAGTCCGGCGTCAGTTCCAGTGGAGTTTGTTAGGTAAGCGGTGTCTCCGACTGCTCCACTCACTGATGGTGCCAGTCTTTGGGTCTTCAATGGCATCGTCTATCCCCCTACCTACCTTGTGCATTCGTAGCATACGTCCAATTCCTTTTCTATACCTAATTGAGGTGCTTCTTTACGGCGGTAACCTACTATGACTAGCCTGGACAGCTGGGCGTCCACAACGCCGGCTGCCATCTGAAGCCCAAGCTCGACACACCTGCCGTACAAATATCGACGGTAGCTGTCACTCAGAGGGGACTCGGCTCAACATGTGCATGCGGCACGCCAGTTGTTGCACATGACCACGATCATGATCTTCCATGTATAAAGCAGGCTACGTCTTTGAATCAAGATAAGGAGCACAGCGCACAACCCATTGTTCATGACGGAATCAATGTTCTGACAGGCGTGCATCTTGACGTTATATTCGGTACTCATTCAGCATCAAGATATGGCATCCTGGGCAGGCGGGACTGGTCCTTTGAGCCCCCAACGAACTCAAGCAGACACCAGACTCTAGTCTGTCTAAAACAACTTCGGCATTGCGGACCGAGTGTCGTTTCGACCCCATGGACGAGGTCGACCTACGCCGGCGGACTCGGACTTTTCTGGGGCGCAAGCGGCGGCGACACGGCATTGTCCGGCTTCCGACCATACACCATGTGCCTGATGTACAGATCAGCGTGGCGCACAACAGAGACAGGGAAGAAACTTACAGATTGTAATACGGTAACGCTTTGGGATCGCGAAGGGCGGCCCTCATGTTCGCCACGAGAACAGTGACTTCGTCAAACGACCAACCCAGAATCTCACCAATAGGGAAAACAACGAAACCGTCGATTGACTGATCAATGAACAACCCGTTGAAGAGGCCGACCTTCTTCAGTTTCGGGTCACTTGCCCACCCACCAATAGGAACCTTCCACTGATGTGTCACGATGTCAACAAACCCAGCGTCGCGCATGTCGCGCTCCATGCGGTTATTCTCAGCTATGCGGAACGTGCGCCCTATCTTGTCGCCAGCAGCAAAGAACAGGTCTCGCCATTGAGTGAAAACATGGTCCGGGCCGAGAGTGTAGCGCGGGTTTTCCGCACGCGTAGTGAGCTCGATCTCAACGTTTTCGAACCAGCCACCTGGGGCACAGTGGGTGAAGGCCTGGCGGTAAAGCTTAGGCCAGTCATCAATGCCGCCGTAAAGGTGGCGGGCGTGGATGTAGGAGAAATGGTTCACGGGAAACGTCCAGTCTAGCTGCGCGTCATCAATCTCAAACTTGCAGTTTGGCGGGAGCCAACTAGGCTGGACAGCCGAGATGTCAGTGCCGAGCACCTCGGCAGAAGGAAACTCGTCAGCCATGTCGATGGCCCAGATTCCTGTGCCTGTGCCAATATCAAGAATTCTTTGGGGATTGTTGCCGATGGGGGCATTGGAGAGCTTGTTGTCCATCAAGAGCAACATGTACTGGTGGCTGTTGCGGTTAGCGAGTGCTTTCTGATCGTTCATACATTAAGCAGAGTGTCGTACGCAAGGTCAAACCCCTCAATGTGTTTCTCGTCAGTTGGTGCCCTAGGGACAAGGAGTAAGTTTTCTTGAACCATGAATCGCGCACAAACTTGCATTCATGCCAAGCCATAAGAGAACTCACCAGTAGTCGGTTGTTGTTGACGACTGAAAATGGCGGCCATTGATGTTGCGATACTCGAGAATGCTGGACCGCAGTGATGCTGTGGATTCACGTAGACTGAACGATAGGATGAGTATCGATCCTCAGTTCTGGATATCTTCAGCTGCTGACCTTTCGACGTCAGCGGATGAGTCGTTGTCATTCTCCAGGTTTCCCACTACATCAGGATCCTGCCATTGACAGTTAGCATTGACTCTCTTGCCACTGCAAAGTCCCCTCTTTGGATCTGGGAAGTTGGTCGCAAGGTGCAAGAAGACATTCTCGAGCGACGGAGCATACCGCTGCAATGGAAGGTTGTTGGCTCTGCTGTTGTGAGGACATGGCAACCCGTGGGGATTTCCTGGCAGTAATACCGTACACGACTTTGGCGTAAGTATTTAGGGAAACTCCAAAAGAGGCTTGATGAGTTGATTTTTGGCAGATGTAAGAGAGAGGAGAATTACGATCACCACTCGTGGGGAGGGGAGGGGGCATGCAGGGCGAGGAGAGCACATCGCATTCTTCAACCGGGGGCATGGACGATCATCCTGGCCCTGTCGCCTGCATCTGTGTCTCCAATTGAACAAGGCAAGTCCTGCATGTCGACCAAGACTCCACTGTCCGTTGGCGGTGCTCGTACCTACCTACGTGACTTGGTAGGGTAGGATTAAGCCGGCAGCCCTGGCAAACTTCAACGTTGGCTGGTTCTTCAGATGTGAGTGTGCCCGGGTCTGCCAAGACGAAAAAATGTCCATCGCATTGGTGTTGATGAACACAGACGAGGTACACTAACACGACATGGCTCCCACTCTCCGATTGTCCTCAGGACACCCGATCTCCCATATCGAAAGGCCAAGTAATTGCTCCCTCGAAAGTGAATGAATTTAATCGGTTCCAATACTGCAAGATACCCGGCTTGGCGTTGTCGATATCGTGAGCATTGTCTTATTCTGACTTCTAGCTTCCTGAACCTCGCCATACCATTTCCGATATCATCATTAGCTCTCCGAGGCTTGATGATGCTGATCCATTTCACCGAGTGTAGTAATCAACGTATCCCCTCGTGTTGCCCCGGTGAAGAATGCACCTTGCGTTTTCACGCGCTTCGGGCTCCCCGCAGGATATACAATATGTCGGATGCGTTCTGCGCCGTGCGCGACAGTTCTCGCAGTAGTTCCGTTTTCGACTCTCCAGGGTGTGGGAGTGGATTCTTCGTTTGCCGCAGTTTCCGCACCAAGTTGCCATTGCTGCTGTGTCTGGTTGTATGGAGTTGGGCGGTTATGTCGCCGTGGCAAAAGTTGAACTGCTCGGCTCTGTCACGTCAAGCAAGTCTGGACCAAGTATGTTCCAGGTACATGAGCAAAGAACTACAGCGCAGGATATTGTGTTAAGTAGTCGTGGTAGTGGCCAGTGAGCCTGCAAGATCTCACAGCCCGTCACCATCCTCATCTCGGGCTCACGTCAGGCTGGAGGACTCCAGGGCTTGACTCCGCAAAATCGACGTGTGACCTGAGGCCACTGCCCAGATGATCTAAGTAAGATTGAGACTGTACGCAGGCGAAGCTCGACCTGGCTGAGATTACAGAGCCTTGCGCTGGCGCCCCAACATCGAGTTGCCCATGTGCCTATCAGAAGACCAGAAGCCGGCCCAACGTCTCTCTCTGCGGCGTAGCAATGCCGGCCACTAAATCACTTGATTGATCCCCCCTGCAGACGAACTGTATTTTATGACTGTGAATGGAAGTTCTTGGCTCCGAGGCGAGGCCCTAGGACATAATTATATTGACACAGCCTCTAGAGTTCAGAAAGCCTTCCATATGACGCATCATCTTGATGCAACATGACTGGAAACTGCACACGTTGCGATGCTGCATCTTGCCAATCGAAGGACTTCGTTGCAAGATATCTGACATGCGCATCAGTAGGCTCGAAACCCCAGCCTCAGAATGGAGCCAGCTTTACAGACAGCCATGCACGCTGAGCTGTTGGTGCAAGTTGTGAGCCCACGTTGCTTGAGCCATGGTGCTGAACCAGATTCATCTGGAACCTTGGCGTCTGCCACAGCCTTGTCCCGTGCCACGGGCCTGGGCACTCGAGTTGTACATGCATCATGCTGGCTGCAATATGCGTGCCTGAGCCATCTCACACCCGAGTTGGTACGCAATCGCGTCAATGTTCATTGCTGAGGCATTCGCCCTGTTCGTCCCATAATCGAGGCCTATCGGAGCCCGAGTCTCTAGGCCATAATCATACCATATATTGATGTTGCTCATCATGTCGTATCTCAGTCGGCTCGAACATCTGAAAGAGACGGGAGGACGCCCCAGCTCGCTCATCGGATTTCAGGCTCCTTCATAAAGTCTGGTTCGCTCATTGCCCCCTCGCTCGGGTCCCAGCGCTTCGCCCGCAGCCGCCTCTCCAGTCGGCGGATCCTTTGATCCGAGTCCTCTTCGGCAAACTCTTCGTCTTCACCGCGCAGCGCCGTCTTGTCGATCATCTCAACCATTTCCGCCATTGGATTGCTACCCGCCTCGACCGAGGCGCGGGCGTCCGTGTCGGCGGCGTAGATCTTGATGCCGCGCAGATGCGTGTCCTTGCCGTTTTGGTGATTCTCGAGAATCTGCATCTGAAACACATAGCAGGCGAGGGTGTTGCCGTCTGGCCCTCCACCTGTGCCCGCGATAGGAACCTGCTGCCATCCAGAGGGCGTCGTGAGCTCCATGACGGCGAACTCAATGAGGTTGTTCTCGCTTGTCCCAGATTTGAAAAGAATCTTGGTCGGCGTGTAGGATTCGTCGGCCTGGTAGTCGACGTAGAAGCGGATGTCGCGAATGCCAACGCGCTTGACGAAGTAGACAGTCATTCTATGAGGCTGGGGTCCGTCGGATCTGAAATGGTGAGCTACTGTCAAATGCCTGCCATGTAGTCGCGCAACCTACTGCCAGTACTCGTCCGTATCATCGCTGCGCATCTCCTCCACTCCATTTCCCGGCTTGTGGCTGCTCACAGTGAACTTGCCCAAATTGGAGATCTCTTTCAGGCCCATGGCGCTTGGGTCAAAGGGCATCGCCATGTCGCCTTCTTGATCGTCTTCTTCTATTTGATCCTCAATCTGCTCGTCAATCGGGCCTTCCGTGTACTCTTCATGATCATCAAAGTGATCATCACCGTCTTCCTCAGGGCTAGTGAACTCGTCAGCATCCGCCGGTGTCTCCGCCGGTGAGCGAGCCGCTGGATGCCTCAGGTCAGGTGTTTCCATGGCGGCGTGTCTTAAGTTGGGCTGTATTGAAGGGCTGTCGTCGTCCCTGTCGAAGCCTTGCTGAGGCGTATGAGTCGTTGGTGTCCCTGGAACGGTGTCAGAGTGGCTTGATCAGCATCCTGGAGAATTGACCAGGCGACATGCAAATGAGCCAAGCAAAGAAAAAAAGCGTGGCAGGTGCTTAGAGAGTACGCTCAGAGATTTGAGGCCACCTATGAGCCACGTGAATGAAAATGAACGCAGGACAGGAATCCGGGGAGGTTTATCTCCAAGGTAGGCAGGCAGGGGATTGAATACTACTCTTTCTATTTGCGTTTGAGCGTGGTTGAAAGCCAGCCAGGACTGGGGCTATGTGAAGATGAAGGTCTGCCAACAAGTCGAGACTCTGACGTGCATAATGAAAAAAAGTTGACTCGATGTATGAAAACCCCCGACAAAAGTGTCAGATGTAGTTTGTGGCGAGGCCCAAAGTGTTGAATGGGAGGGAGGTTGAAGCCTCTTGCAGCCCTTTCCTCCAGATCCAGTTTTTCGTCTGACACAACAAATGAAAATGAATGACCTACCCCTGGAACCAGACGGCGACCTACGCTCTGTGTAGTAGTTCATCAATAACCTCTGTGCAGCATGCACCTGCTGATCTGACACAGAGCTCGGCGGGAGTTGGGGGTCTGGCGTGCTGTTGACTTCTGGTGTGCTTGCTGGTCCAGAGTTCTGGGCAACGCGGCGTGCCCGCCTTGAGCCGCGAAGGAGTCCCTCCATCTGCCTTGACGCGTGCTGACCAGCGCGCGTTGGCAACGCGATGGGTTTCGATGCAATGTGAGATGGGCAAGAGGACGTGATGGTGAGAAGAGCGATGTCACGTGCTGTTGTTCACATTATCAGGAGGCATGCAGGTCATTTTATGAGCCCCGGTTTTAGCACGGCTACCAGTGCCATCAGCACACAGCGCTTACAGAGACGATGCATCGCAACCAACACAGTTTTCTAGAACACTACGCCTGAATTCCATGCAAACTTGTAAATGAATAGGAGGCTACGTTGTACTCCGTCAAGGTGGCCTTTCAGGACGTCACAAATGAGTGCATACTCGAGTGTAAAATGCTTTTCTTGATTTCCAGCATTGAGAGACATGCAACCGTTTAGACCAACCTTTCCCCCCAAGGGTCCCGCCAATAACGCCGGCCAAATAGCAAACAACCAAGATCGAGGTATCATACAGCAAGAGGAGACATGTACAGAACACATGGGATGCTTAGGCACCCAGCGACTGGCGCTTCTTCTTCTGCTTCTTCTCCTTCTTCGGCGTCGCCTCCTCGGCGTCCTCGTGTTTCCTCTTCTTCTTGCCCTCCGCATCAGACTTGGAGGGGGTCTCGCCGGCCTTCTCCTCAGCCTTGCGGAGCTTCTTCAGCTCCTTCTTGCTGAACACAACTGGCTGGCCGTCGGGGCCGAGCTCGACATCGCCACGCTCGAACTTGCGCTTGAACTTGGTGACGCTGATACCGGCAGCCGCGGCGTGACGCTCGTAGTCAGCCTCGGTGAGCTTGGCAGGAGTGGTCTCGACAACGACCTTGGTGGTGGTGACCTTGACAGGGGTAGCAGCAGCACGCTTGGCGTCCTGCTCGGCCTTCTTCACCCTCCTCTCCTCGCGCTCCTTGCGACGGGCCTTCTGGGCCTTACGCTCAGCCTTGTCGGAAGGCTTCTCGCCGTCCGTGTCGTCTGAGACGGAACCAATGCTGGGAGAGCCAGGGGCGTCCTCCATGTCGTCATCCGAGTCCTCGGCCTCGCTGTCGGCATCCTTCATCTCGACCTCCTGGATCAGAGCTTTCTTGGCCTTCTTGGCCTTCTTGTCGGCCTTGCCGTTGACCTCGGCACCGTCGACACCATCAGCGTCGGCGTTGTACTTCCTGACCTCGTTCAGGGTGAACTGAGCAGGGGCAGTGAGCGAGCCATCGGGGGCAATGTTGGCACCCTTGGGCAGAGGAGGCTTGCCCTCAAGCTTGCGGAGGAGGTTCTCGAGCTTGATGCGGCTGGTGAGGCCGAGCATGCCCCTCTCCTCCTCATCGGCATCTTCGCCATCAAAGTCGGCCAGGGCGTCGACACGAAGGCCGAGGGCCGTCTTGGCAGCGAGCGAACGGGCGATCTTGCCCTTGTTCTTGCCGGTAGCCTGACCAACGAGAGAAGAATGGTAGATGATACCGTACTTGGGCGTGTCGTGCTTGGTCTTGAGGGCGCGGAACAGAGCCTTCTCGGCACCGTAGATCTGGATGGTGGAACTAGGCGCCTTGGCAAGGCTGAGAATGGAACCAGCGTGGGCGATCAGGCGGGCACCGACGAGGGTGCCGACGAGGGCCGTCAGGTTGGGGGCAAGAGCGCGCATGCGAGTCTCGAGGTACGAGGACAGCTGAGTACGGTACTCAGAGTACGAGATGACCTGGCGGGCGAGGAGCTGGATGTTCTCGAGATCGTCGGGCGTGATTTCGGTACCCATGCTAATCTCAGCAGCGGTCTTGACCGGGGTCTCGAGCTCCTCAGGGAGGATGTCGGAAAGGTCGGCGTCAGCGAGATTCTCGCGCATGCCGACAAGGTCGACGAGACGGGCGTAGGCAAGGTTGTCGTTGAGGATCTTGGCCAGCTCAGGGAAGTGCCAGCCGTACCACTCCTTGGTTCGCATGGCGTAGACGTTGAGCTCCTTGTCGAGATCATCGAGAAGCTTGATGGCCTGGACGACCATGGCATCGACCTTGTCGGCGGAGAACTTGAGCTTGTGGCGAGAGATGGAGTGGGAAAGACCCAGAGCCATGCGGTCGACAGTCTCATCGGCGAGACCGGGAATCAGGGAAGAAAGGTTCTCGCGAACGGCACGGAAAAGGTCCAGGGTGGCAGCGTCGGAAACCGCCTTGATGTCGAGGTCGGGGAGCTTGCCAATGGCAGCACCGAGCTTGACATCGGCGACGGCTAGCGAAGCCTTCTTCTCGTCCTTGATCTCGTTGAGAAGGTTGGCCAGCATCGGGGGAACGCGGCCCTCGCGGAGTCCACTGGCTTCCTCAACGGCAATGGCGGAGCTGTCGAACTTGACAAAAGACTTGAGCTTGAGCCTGAATTCAGTCAGTAAATGTTGTCTAGACACGCACGCGACCCTTGAACTACACCGCACAATTGCAGTCTTCAATCCAAATCCGCCGCCGTCAAAGTCCCGAGTCACTCACATGTCATTGATCTGCTCGGAAGAGGTAGGACCGGAAGTAAGCTCCTCGCGCTTCAGAAGCTTCTTGTCGGCAGCCTTGAACAGGCCGTAGCTATGCAGACGTTAGCGACCACGCATCCAGCTCGATGTTGAATGAAACGCACCCCGCAGGCGTCTCAGCGAGAACGAAGAGGGACATGATGACTGTTGTAGAGTCCGATACTCTTCTGACACAGTCTGTGGGTGGGATCCTCCGCTCTTCTCACGAATGTTGCTTGTCGTGGGAAGGAGATCGCTTGTAGCGGATTGTGGTGGTTGGAAATTTTTCAAGGTCGAGCTCCTCCAATTTTTTTTTGGCTTTCTGCAGCCTTTGCTCCAGCCCCACACCCAATTGGAAAACGAGTGGAGACACAAGCTCCAATGCAGAACGGTGACCGTATAAACAGTTCTTCCGACGTAGCTGAACCTTGCATGGAACAGTGGAGCTACGTGACATGGTCCGTGCCACTCCATGCCTACCAGCCTGTGATCCAGTGATGAGGGAACTTGGTCGCCTGGAAGCTTTGCTGGTGCAGGCTCAACAGCATCATCGCATCTCTTGACGGCGAAATTCCGACCTTGGAACTTCCAACGACTACAATCTCGCCTACTTACTGTCTGTCAGTCCGCTTCGCAATGGAGGGGCTTCTGTTCAACGTGAACAACGGGTAGGACCTGACCGATGCACCGTTTATCGTCCGTCCAGCTAACTTTCGTAGCTACATCGAGGGCATCGTTCGTGGATACAGGAACGGTCTGCTCACAGGATCCAACTACTCCAACCTGACACAATGCGAGACGATTGATGGTGCGCACAAACCCTCTGTATTAATAAGACTATCTCTAAGTCCAGTTAGATCTCAAGCTTCAGCTCGGCCCTGCCTACGGCGACTTTCTAGGCAACCTCCCTCCAAACCCCTCGACTTCGGCCCTCGCATCCAAGACGACAGACAAGCTTGTTTCCGAGTTCCGCTATGTGCGCGCGAATGCTGTCGGCGCGCTTGCGCAGTTCATGGACTACGTCACGTACGGCTACATGATCGACAATGTTGCCCTTCTCATTACCGGCACTCTGCACGAGCGCGATACCCGTGAGCTGCTAGAACGTTGCCACCCCCTCGGATGGTTCGAGACGATGCCAGTCCTCTGCGTTGCCACCAACATTGAGGAGCTCTACAACAGCGTTTTAATTGAGACACCCCTCGCTGCCTACTTCAAGGGCAGTCTGAGCCACCAGGACCTTGACGAGCTCAATATTGAGATTGTTCGCAACACCCTGTACAAGAACTACCTCGAGGACTTCTATAATTTCGTCAACAGCCATCCCGAGATGAGCAATACGCCAACGTCGGAGATCATGTCAGAGATTCTTGAGTTCGAAGCTGATCGTCGTGCCATCAACATTACCCTCAACTCCTTCGGTACTGAGCTGTCCAAGGCTGATCGTAAGAAGCTCTACCCCAACTTCGGCAGACTCTATCCCGAAGGCACCCTGATGCTCTCGAGAGCGGATGACTTTGAGGGTGTGCGTCTGGCGGTGGACGGCCAGTCAGACTACAAAACCTTCTTCGACGCCGCCGGCCTAGGCGGAGGTGCATCAGGGCCCGGCAACATGGGTGGCGGCGCAAGCGGCGATGGCAAGAGCTTGGAGGACATGTTTTACCACAAGGAGATGCAAATCTCCAAGAACGCCTTCACGAGGCAGTTCTCATTCGCCATTGTGTATGCCTGGGTGAGACTCAGGGAACAGGTAAGCAGAACCATCATGGTTGACCCGTGCTGTCAATGGCTAACAGCTTGATAGGAAATCCGGAACATCACCTGGATTGCAGAGTGTATTGCCCAGAACCAGAAGGACCGAATTGGTAACTACATTAGCGTGTTCTGATCTAAATGTCTTGTTTTTCTCCCCAACTTCCTGTAGAATACCAACCACCATCTCGCAATCCCTCCAGCGGGGTCATCACGGCGCAAGGAGGCACCTAAGGTTAATGACGCGCAAAAGACCGGCATTGTTTCTGATCAGTATACATAGTGTACATAGTGGACAATGACGAGTCTACACATCTCTAAACCTACAGTCTTACAGGCTGATCTGCTCCTTCCACGTAGCCGGAGAGAGTCCCAACGTCGCCAGGAGGTTGGTCCACCTCTCACTGCCCCTCTCCTTCTTCTCCATGTACCTCAGAAGCCTCTGCCGCCTGTGGCACAGCAGCCGCAGGTTCCTCTTGTTGTGGATGTCCTTGTAGCCCCTGTTCTGGTTGAGCTCCTGCGAAAGCTTCCTAATCTTGACGGTCAGGATGGCAATTTGCACTTCCGAACTGCCCGTGTCAGGGCCGGCGCGGATGGGTGCGGCCTCCTGCGTAGCGTGAATGGAGGCGGGCTTCTGCTTGAGCACTTCATCCGTGTTGTGGCGGCCGAATGTCTCAATGCACCTTCGGATGTTGACGTGCTTCCGCATCTTGGAGTTGGAGTTGTTCATGGAGGTGATGCGGCTCATCGCCTCGACAGCACGCTTGTGGCTGAGTTCGTGCTGCCTCTCGGCCTCCTGTTCTGTGGCCGGGTCGACGAGGTCGCGAATCTCGCTGCGCAGGGGCTTGGACAAGGTGTAAGCGTGCTGAATGGCGCTTTCGATTTCGTCGCGGGTGACCAGGTGGTTCTGGATGTGACGTGACGTCGGCAGAGCGTACGGCTCGGAAATGTAGTTGCCGTCCTCATCCTTGGGTGGTGTGGACTTCTCGGCCTGACCAGCGGAATCGAAAGACTCGACAAAGGGCGTTGGGATGCCGTGGACGGGGTCACCCCATGTGGCATCCCTCGCAGCCTTGATCTCCTGTTGCCTCTTGACGTTGGCTGCTTTTCGCTGCTGTGACTGCTGCCATCGGTAGGGGTCGGCACGCTGTCGCTTCTTGGCCTCCTTGTAGGAGATGCTGGCTGTCTGGATAACAGGGAGAAAGCTTGGAGTTATCGACCTCGTCGCTGCTGGACGCAGACATACTGGGACGCCGCTGTCAGTCGATGCCGGTATAATCGGTCTCTTGAGGAGCACCTACAGTTGAAGGAGCTTAGCCTTTGCAGGCCTTGAACATTGGGAGGCATGGCGTATATTGCTAGGATGGCACGCCTCTGGCTTCGACAACCCGATCTCCATACATCGCGGGTCAAGTCGCCAAAATTTCCAGCGCATCTGCTCAGGCGACAGCACGGAGCGCGCTAAACCCGATGTGGACAGTCCACTGCGGTCACGTGCATTCTGCTTCGCGCACTAGCCAAGGTACGTCCCATTTTTGCTCTAATGCCATCTGGGACTAGTGCGCGTGCACGTTCAGGGCAACAGCACCCACACACTTTTGCCGAATTTTGAAGCTCGTCGCGAACTTTCCCCCGGCCCTGTAGCCAAACCTCCACGAAAAATCCGCGCCCTCGCAGATCTTCCTTTCCTTCCCCCCCTCATCATCCCTCCAGCTCCCCGAAGGAAGAACGACAACTGCAGTCAAGATGGCTCCCGCTAACCTCCCCTCGGTCTTCAACGCGACCAGCCAGGACATTGAGATGCTTCTCGCAGCTCAGGCCCACATTGGCAGCAAGAACATGCAGGTTCACATGGAGCCTTACCTCTGGAAGACTCGCCAGGACGGTGTCAATGTCATCAACGTCGGCAAGACCTGGTAAGGCGCACTCGAAAGAAAGACAAGTCAGGCGTCGGGGGTTTTCCTAACAGTCCACCAGGGAGAAGATTGTCCTCGCCGCCCGCATCATCGCCGCCATCGACAACCCCGCCGACATTTGCGTCATCTCCGCCCGTCCCTACGGCCAGCGTGCCGTCCTGAAGTTCGCCCACCACACTGGTGCCGTCGCCATTGCCGGTCGCTTCACCCCCGGTTCCTTCACCAACTACATCACCCGCTCGTTCAAGGAGCCCCGTCTCATCATCGTCACCGACCCCCGCCCCGATGCCCAGGCTATCCGCGAGGCCAGCTACGTCAACATTCCCGTCATCGCCCTCTGCGACACCGACTCGCCCACCGAGTACGTCGACGTTGCCATCCCCACCAACAACAAGGGTCGCCACTCCATCGGTCTCGTCTGGTGGATGCTCGCCCGTGAGGTCCTCCGCCTCCGCGGCACCATTTACAACCGCGAGACCCCCTGGGAGGTCATGACCGATCTGTACTTCTGTATGTGCTCTCCGCTCCCCGCCTCTCTGTGTGTCTCATATTTCGCGCCCCGCTAACACCCATATTCAGACCGCGACCCCGAGGCCGAGGCCGAGGACAAGGTCGAGGACGACAAGGTCGTCGGCGCCGAGGAGGAGGCCCCCGAGGCCACCAACGACGAATGGGCTGCCGCCCCCGCCGGCTTCACCGGTGCCACCGGTAACTGGGACGGCACCACCGACGAGTGGGGTGCCACGAACACCGCTGCTCCCGCCGCCGCCCCCGCCGCCGGCTCCAGCACCGAGTGGGGTGGCGAGGCCACCAAGGCCGAGTGGTAAATCGGATATGCACCTTAGGAGCAATGCGCAACCGCTGCCGGGCGTCAGGAAAAACCGCCTGTCTGGGATTCATTCGGGCTGGCCACTTCTCTGGAGTCAGCTGTCTTTCTTCTTCGCAAACATGGGCACTCTCTAGCCCTTCGGAGGATACGAAGTAGGGAAAAAAGGTTTGGAGGGGAGGATATTTTAGGGAAAGGGTTCGGCTTGGAACGCGCTGATGAGGGAAAGATACTCGATCCGGACTCTTGGGTGGGTTCAGCCGAACCCGTTTTTAAGGGGCCAGTGGTGAGAGGGAAAGCCCTGTGTGTACCGACGTCAAAGGGGTGGAACTTGATCGTTTGCCCGCCCTTTCCTTTATGCTCTCCTTTGTACCTTGTTCCTCTCGTGCTCTCGGAGTATGGTGGTGAACTGTGATCTGTGGGAGACTTGGAACGGGCTATCAAAACCGTGGGAAGACACCAAAAAAGATACCTTGCTCAAAGTGCAACACTATGACTTGACGTACGTGATCGTTTTGGCCAATGGATGTGGTATGACAGCGGTCGTTATAGAACTTCTCGGCTGAATGCGGCCAGTGTGTACTTTTGAGCCGACTTCACGGGCTCAAGGAACCCATCAGGCGAGCTTATGTACATCGGGGCGAGGTATATGAAGACAAGTGTAGCAAACAGCACAATGAAGCGCGTTTCCTTCACCAGGGAGCCAAATGGGCTTGTCTTCCGCATCCCCGTGTCACGTTGCTGAGAGCGCCAGTCTTTGACATGAGAAGACGTACACATGTATATGTTCACCTTGATGCAGATCCAAACCCGTCCAAGCTTGCACGGCATATAGGACTGAGTGAATCAATGCAAATCACAGGAATTGATGATGATATTGCGTGCAAGTCTCTTATGATGGTATCATTCCCCATCCACCCTGCTTATGGCAACGATGTCAACGTCGTCGCTCTGAAGCATCAATACTCTCTGCAACTCTGAATGCGACCCTGGTCGCTCGCTCACGAAAAGAAACGTCATGGGGTATCGACTTTGTTCCTTCCCTGCCCTCCCGTCCCATCCTCAATGTGCGGTTTAAACGCGCCGATTATGTGTACAAGAATATAAAAACAGCAAGCCAGTCGCGAACGCCATCGCGACGGCTAGTGAGTCATCGAATCATTGATGCCTGTGCCGCTTCTCGCCTGTGTGGGACGAGAATTCGCTGCAATCCAAGGAAACGTGTATGTGGAAGGAGTGTTATGTATAGGTCGGACCGGATGTAAGCCTCTGGGACAAAAGTGGATTAGGTGTACAGTATGCGCGTGCGGGATTGTGTCTATGTCGAGAGAAGTAGAATGTGGTGAACATTTACAGAAGAACGCGGATCTGCGGTCGGAGTCAGGCTTCCAGCCTTGGCTGGTAGGTAGGTAAGTTTATCCTTCCTGTCGTGGAGCAAGGTAACTGCATGAGTAGGCAAGGCACGCTGGCTCATTCCAAGCTCTCCGAATGTCTTCGGATCTCCTCATCAGTCAATGCGCCCATCCAAAGACATCGCTCAGTGATGCCCTCGACGGGCTGAAATTGATAGAGAGTGCTGGCCTCGAGTAGCCTGAGAAGAGTCTTGACGATGGTGGCTGCATACCGGCATCGCTCAAAATTGACCAGAGGAGCTGTAGTTGGTGAACTGGCGATTTCGGACGGACGCTGCGCGTTGAAAAGGAGGTCGTGTGTATATATGCCGACGAAAGGAATACATCCCGAGTCGGAACCGCCTTCCATCTCAGCCCGTAGATTGTGAAAGTTGCGGGTTGGCGAGACTAGTAATTCCAGTTCCTGAAGCGTTTGCATATCCCGACGTGGCACCATGGCCCACGTCTTGGAAAGCCTGGCAACCTCCTGACTTGTCAGGGCAATGGCAATTTGACTCATGGTCGCAAAGTTGCGGAAGCGGTGGCAGTGGGCTGCCAGGTGAATGAACTTGATGATGCACCGAGCTCGCTCCTCAATGTTCTGGGTGAGAACAATCTCGCTGCAGGCCCACTTGACCATGATGTTGAACCTGGCAATGACGACCTCGACGCCGTGGGCATCGGTGTTACGCAAGAAGTCAACCCATGAGCGGGAGTCGTTATTAGTTGCATTCTTCCAGCCCATCTCGATGAGTTCTTTCCAGTCAATCTCGTTGAGTGCGTCCTTTTCGATCAGTGTGAACTGTTGTGCGAGAATTTCCGAGTCAAAGGCCAGGATGAAAGGTAGATGAACCGAAAACTTCCTAGAGAATCTGTCGCTTGCGACACTGGCATCGACATGAGATGCTACGTCATCTGAGGCGTTCCGAGCGTCTTCCGGATATTGAGCCGCCGTAGGCGTTGTATCGGGCGTCGGCGGCAGTGGTAAAGGCTTAGAGGACCACAACTGGTGCTCGTGAAGCTGAGGGACCTTGGCGGTCTCTGGAGACATTTGGAGAGCCTGGGCCAAGGTCATGGGCGGCGACGGAAGCTGACTCTCGCGATCCGAACCCGAGTCAGCCAAAGGATGGGTTGGCATTCGCTTGATGACGGACGTGCTGCGGCCCATCGGAGGAAAGCTACCCTCTCCGTCAAAGTCGTCCGAGTTGATGACCTCTAGCGACATTTCAGAGGAGAGATCGGTTCCGTCGTCTTCGCTTTCCAAGTCCAGGTAAGATTGGTCTTTGCTTGGACGGTGCCTTGCGTTCTCGGACTGGACTCCATCCATACTGCGGGTCTTCTCAATAAACTCGTATGACGGGTGCTGAGAGTCACAGAGTGGCGATGGGCCGAAGGCGTCGTGGCAGGAGATGCCTCGCCGGGATCGACAAGTATGGACCTTCCCCTCC